TTTATTTTTTTTTAGTGAGCCCAGACTTTCATTCCATCCCAAAATGGCTCAAGAATACCACTAAGTATAGAAAAGCTTGGAAAAGAACAAACATAACTATTAACAAGTAATTATTCAGAAGGGTATAGTTTTTATGGTTATTTCCTTTTGGGTTTTCCAAATTTTCTGCCTTAATGTGTTACTTTAATATTAGGAAGACTGTTCTAATGGGCACTTCCCCAGGATTCGATTTTTATCAGGCCTGCTCCTGGCCGAATCCAGAAGCACTGTGCTCTAAACCCAGGGTTCAGCCTCACTCCCACCCCTGTGGCGCCCACTCACCCTCAGCTCAAAAGCCTGACAAGAGTCGCAGCCGACCCGCCATGCCTCTCCGACAGACGGAACTTTACCCTGGTACTGGAGTTGCTGGAAGGGGCAGGTCTGCCTCTCAGGGAGAGTTCAGAAGGAAAATCCTGCCGCCCAAGACCAGGAAACCAACCACACCCACACGGGAAGATGAACTCACACTTAGTAAAAATCCAAAGCTTTACAACTACATCAGTAACTTTCTCCATGTTGAATATCCCTAAGCTCTCCAAACATGGAAAATAAAATTTTTCTTTTTCTTTCTTTCTTTCTTTTATTCAGTGCCAGGATCAAATTCAGGGTCTCACACCTGCTAGGAAAAGTGCTCTACCAGGGCACTGCTACACCCCCAGCCCAGGAAAGTGAAATTCTTCGTAACAGTTCATCTCGGCTCTAGCCATCTCCTCCGTGCTTCACTTATGCAATCATTTTGCCAACAAGTCCAGGGTTGTTTTTGCCTTAAGCTTCTTCACCTGGCCCTACAGCTGTGTGGCTGTCAAAGAAAATTATGCTCTTTCTAGAAACCCCAAAACAGAGGCTCCACCCAACTGAGCGAACCAGCCACCTCCACGATGGCTGAGTACATATCCTCCCTCTTCCCCAGAATGCTCTCAAAGATGAAATACTTTTTCCAGTTTCTGGGGTTTTCCCCCCACTCTGACCTGAATTCAGAACAAATCATGTTCAAAGCATACTGATAAATTAGGGTAGTCATTTGGAGTCAAATGCACTTTAAGCAACAGGTTTAAACACATTAAGAATTAAGTTCTTTCAAGCAAAATAATGCCAAGAGTACAATGAAAAAGTTTAGGCAAACATTAGGCTAGGACTCGGGATAAAAAATAAATTAGAGTCAGGCTGGGATTTAGCTCAGAGGTTCTACTGCCTGCCTCACAAGCTCAAGGTCCCAAGTTCAATCCCTGGTACCAAAAAAAATAAAATAAATAAATTTGAGTCCATGGCTAAGAAGCCTACAGTCTAGGCGGGTAATATATATAAATGCAAACCTAATGTATTGATGTAGAGCAAAAAACATTTAAAATATGTATAAATATTAGAGTTGGGAAGTGTAGATTTCAGAACAAACTTGATTCCAAGATCAGAAACACAAGTAATCCCATTCCGCTATTCTGTGATCACATCATTAAGCTCCAATCTTGACTCCGGTCCATCCTTACAACTCTGGTGCATTCTTTCGACTCTGTAAGGCAGAAATGGCCTCCGTTCTTATGTCTGCGGCAGTCAAACGGGACTCCGGTGACCTGGGGGAGGAATAAGAGCTAACAGCTCACGACCCGGTGGATGGGCGGCACAAAAACCCCAGAGCCACAGCCAGGAGTCACCGGAATCAGGGACCGATGCAGACAAAGACAGTCCCTCCCCATAAGAAAGAACAGTGGGTGACGACGGACCCTGGCCTCAAGCCTGGGCAGCCGAATCGTCCCACCTCCGCACCAGTGGGCAGCTGCTGCCCGTCCTCGCCTACATCCCCTTTATTTGGAGGTCCCGGCCTCTGTGTTGTGGGGAGGGAGGGGACCCGTGTCCCGTCACACGGGTCCTGTATGTGACAAGGTGAAGGAAAGCGGCTCTCCGGCACCTGGCAGGGGCACCTGTGGGTGTGTGGGTGTGTGTGTGTGTGTGTGTGCACGCGCGCGCTTGTGTGTGTCTGTATCTGTGTGTGTGTCTGTGTGCGAAGCTGGTCCGAGGTCTGTTCTCCCGAGGATCTTGAGTTGCGCCTTGAGTTGCGCTGTCCTGGCTGCCCCCATGTTCAGAATCAAAACATTTGCCTTCCGTGGTCATCCTGGCTTTAAGGACCAAGATTCACACGGTGCCAGATGTGCTGAAAAGGTGGACGAGAGCACCCTCCGCGCCATGTAGTTACGAGCTGCCTTTCCACTCGATGACACCCAGCAACGGCATTCACTGTGTTTCCGATCGCCTCACGAAGACGCTCCTGAGGGAGGACATCTGGATCTGACACGGAGCGTGCCAAGATTCGCGCGTCTGAGGCGAGCAGGAGGGCTCTGAGGTGGACTCGTGGGTGTATCAAGCGACTTTGTACCTGCAACATTCACCGTGTGGTTGGGTCGCGCGCAGAGCGTGTGGAATCCATTAATACTGAAGCTAATATATCAGGTGGCCTGACTCTATGTCGAGTGATCTTCTGGAACGTTGGAAAGACTTCCCCCTAGGTTACACACAGTCATGGCTGACTCTGTGAGGCCCTGGGCCGGATATGGACGATGGAGCCCCACAGGCCCAACCCGAAAGCTTCCCCACAGCTTGGCTAAAGTGCTGACTGCATCTTCTGAAATCGCTTTGAATAATTCAAGCTGTGTAGCTTGCTCCTGCCTTGTCTCTGCAACCCAAGAGAATGTCCAAAAGACATCAAGCTATTACTCTAGTCAGGAAGAGTAAAAAAAAAAAAAAAAGTGCTGCACACACTACCGGCCAAATCTTAAAACCACAGCCACGTATCCGGTAACTATCACCATTGTTTGTGTTGAACAGGGAGCTCTAGTGAACTCAGAGGTGCCCAGTAATAGTGTACAAAATGTATCTTTACCACACATGTGGTATCTCCACCTTAAATGTATGGAAACTTTCTCAGAGTCTTTTTCCTCAGGAAAGGTGTGGATTATTAAATCCAATGAGAATTTTTAAAATCTAGACTCCTCATGATATTTTAAAAAGGCTTCCCCAGAACAAAACACGGAATCCAAATACAGCAAATTAAAGAGGAATTTTAGTGGCCACTTACAACAAAAACAAGGTACCTTTGGAAGAACTGACAATCTCGGTGTCTTTATAATCATTTCAGTGTGTTTTATCTCAATAAACCCACTGTATTCATGATATATACGTATGTGAGCTGGGGATTTAGCAGATATTTTATTTCTTATCATCAAATATAGAACAAGCTAAATTTAGAAGCCTGAATCCAGGAAAGAATTTCCAAGAATCTATCATCTATTCTCTATACCCAATTATTTAAAATTCAAGTGACAGTTAATCATACAATCTTAAGAAGGGTCACAAAATCTTATATTGTGTGAACTATGCTCAATACATATGTAATATACTGATATATACCCACATTTACTTACATTTTCTTTATATTTCCTGCATCATCCAAATTTTCACATATATATATATGAAGTCTGCCAAAAAATGTGCACATCAGGAAAATAAAAACTTGCATAAACATTTTAATGTTACATTTATTTAGATATGGTGAGATCAATACAAGTTTCCTTTGACCTCTACAATTACAAGAGGTGCTCCAAGTGTTGGCCATGGGCTTCTGGACATTGATTAGCACAGTGAACAGATGAAGTGCGTATACCTTTTTTGGCAGGAGAGAGAGAGATTGCTATGTTTTTTAAAATCAATAATAGATTATCGTACAGTGAAAAAACTTGGATCACCACCTCAAAGGAAACATGGCAAAGGAAACCGCTTAGCCTTTCTCATGCAGATGAAAGGCCCACAATTTGAATTTCTAAGGAAATCCCCCTCCCCTGGAACTGCACCAGGTTTCCGGCTCACGTCCATGTGGTTCCCACCCAAATGTTCTTTGGATGCCACATAGAGAGGCCACAAATTTCAGAGACAAATAACACGCCAGAGAAGAAAGTATAATGAGAACTTTGATTCTAAGCAATCAAGACACTGGATCCAATCCACTGGATCACGCTTTGCAAAACTTTGGTAAACAATTTAAGAAATGATCCGTCGTTGTTCGGTGCTGCACGGGTGGTCAAGCAATCAGCTGAAATGGTCGTAGCTTCCCGAGCCTGGGAACCCCGTTATTTCTTGATTCAGCCCTGTATGCTTCCTCTTTCTCCTGATTGATAGCAGCAATAAAAGCAGAAGCTCCGACACAATCCCGTCACCAAATCAACACGTTAACCGAGCAACTAGTAGAGAGGCCGGCTTTGGAAGGGGTAAATGTAAGTGGTAAATGAGGGCCCGGGAACCAGCAGGAAGGGTCCCAGTTCCCAGAGTTTACTAAGAGGGTCAGTTCTCACATGAAGAAGAGATGGCCGAAGCCAGTACCGCGCTGTACTCAGCACTTGTCAGGCCTCCCTCAGGGAATCAGAAAGGAGAACTCGTGCAACACGGTAATGAGACTCTTCAACATCTGGGAGATTCTAATCTGAGCTCCAGCCCGGGAAATGCGTTGTCCCCCACGTTCTGCGCAGCTGTCCTGGAAACGCCATTCCACTGCAAGACACGCGGGGTCGGGACTGGGGCTGATGCTGGGTTCCCGAGAAGAACACACCAGAAGCCTCATGTTCGGAAAGATTTGCCACGCAGGCGACAGCCACTCGCTGCTACCTGACTGTGCCGAGGAGATGGGCAATGAAATCCCCCAGAGAGATCCCTCATGACAGCCTAAACCTCCCCACCCGGCTGCTCTCTTGCATAACACATGTCTGATGGAAATGACTGCTAATTACTTATAAACCAGTGAATTTTCATTCCCATAAATCACTGGCTCACTGAGAAGGCCCAGAAGGGGTGGGGAGACCCCGATTTCGGGGAAGGGGTGAACTTTCCAACTGTAACGCCCACCTCCCGGCCTATAAATGGTTGGCGCCCGGCCCACTGGTAGCACGCCTCCGGCCTGGCCACCTCCGCCCCCGGACACCATGTTGCTCTCAGTGCCCATCCCTGGGCTGTCCCGGCACCTGTCTGCGCAGAGCGGGGTGGCAGGCAGAGCCACGGGCCTGTCCGCTTCCAGCCCTGTGCGGGGCCCTGGGGGTGGCGCCTTTGGAGCTGGGGGGTTTGGCTGTGCCGGGGGCCTGGGCACTGGTCAGGGGGGACCCTTGGGAGGCGGCTGCAGAGGTCTGGGCATGGCATTTGGGGGCAGCCCAGCAGGTGGCTCTACAGGCGTCCTCTGCGGCCTTCATGGAGGACTCCTTCCCGGGTCCGAAAAAGCCACCATGCAAAATCTGAATGACAGACTCGCATCCTACCTGGAGAGGGTTGGCGCCCTGGAGGAGGAGAATGCTACGCTGGGACAGAAAATCCGAGACTGGTACGAAAGATGTGGGGCCGAGGACGCAGGGTCCCAGACTGATTACTCTAAATACTACCTGCTGATCGAAGACCTCAGGAACAAGGTAAGAGTGCGTCACCCGGAGTGGATCTGGGAACTCTTCTCCTTTTTCACTGTTACTGTGTTTTACAGCAATAATCGCTTGTGGTTTAGAGTTGTCAGCTAGACTGTGCTTGGAGAATTCCCTCATCTCACAATGTTTAGATCCCTGTGTCGTTTATCATAATAGGGCTGTGCTTTCCCTGCCTTCCTGTAGGAGATATGTTTGTTAATCTTGTGATGATATTTTGTAAGCATATTTTCTTTTGTAAAATGCGGCTGCCTTAGACTCTTAAGAAAACAGTATTTAACATCCACGTTTGACCTTAGTGTCAAAATAATATGTGGAGGCCGCGAGTATTTTAAGGCCTCCAGTCTGTGCATCTCGCTCTCCCCTGCCAGATCACCTCGGCCAGCACCAGAAACGCCCAGGTCACCCTGCAGATGGACTACGCCAGGCTGGCCGCTGAGGACTTCCAAACAAAGTGAGCCGGGCCCGCGCAGGAGGACTGACCTGGCCCAAGAGCCCTGTGCCACTGACAGCAAACATTCCCCTCTGCTAACGTTCACATTCGCTGTGCTATTTATGTCCTGCCGGATTCACATAAGGCATTCTAGAAAGCAATTAGAGGCGAGCACAGTTCGAATTACACAACTTTACATTATAAGTTCCTTACGCCTAGGGCCCCCAGTCACAATGCTAGCGACGTGCTGTTACCTCAGGGTGCAAGGTGCAAATTTTGCCAGGGTCCTAACCTGAATCTCCACAGCATTGAGATGAGTGGTTTCTGCCGAGGAGTCCGGCGAAACAATTCCCTTCCTGACGACACGTACACCTGAAAGATTGAGCATCTCTTCGCTCCTGTTCTCCCACCTCTTCTCCCACCCCCACCCTCCCAGGCAGAAGGAATAAAAGCTGATTTCCTTTTCTGATGTGCTTTTCCCTTTTCTGGGTGGCAGAATTTCCACATAGGAAGTTGCAATGGCGATGGACATGCACCGGTAACACCTTGGTAAAATCCACTGAAGAAGTGCCAGGGTTTTTAATTCAAGAGGGAGAAAATTAAGCAAAAAAAAAAAGCAACTGTGATTTTGCCTGCTTTTAAGGCACCACTAGGAACTTCACCTGGGGAGGGGCTGCTGTTCTCACAACTGCTTTCCCCAGGATGCTGTGCTTTGGGTTCATCAATGGCAGAAAACTACCACAACCCTTCTACACTTCTCTCTACCTGAGCAGGAAATTAGGCACTAAAAACAGGAAAAGACAAAGTCACGAAAGCAAAACTCCCTCTCACACTGTAATGGTGTTATTTTGAAACAGCTGAACGGATTTCTGCACCAGACAGGCTGGGGGGCCTCCCCAGCTGGTTGCAGGGTGCCCTAAACCGTGTGCGCTTGGCTCGCAGGTACGAGAACGAGCTGTGCCTGCGGCAGAGCGTGGAGGCCGACGCCAGCGGGCTGCGCAGGGTGCTGGACGAGCGGACCCTGGCCAGGGCCGACCTGGAGGTGCAGATCGAGGGCCTCGCGGAGGAGCTGGCCTACCTGAGGAAGACCCGCGAGGAGGTGGCGAGCTGCCTGAAAGTCCCAGGCCCCAAGATTACAATTTCAATTTTGCAAGTCAGGAGTTACACTATCTCCCTATTCACAAGGCCATTTGTTTCAGTGCCCTCTCTCTCTCTCTCTCTCTCTCTCTCTCTCTCTCTCTCTCTCCCTCCTTCCCTCTCTCTCTCTCTTTCTCTCTGGTATAGGTGGTACCTCCTAAGGTTTAATGAATTACTGAATTTTCTGATTTTCTCATTCTCAATTATTAGATATTGACAGAATTTTAATTATCTCCATTTAGTTGCTTTTAAATATAAATGTATAGTATTTCAAAAGCTAAGAAACAAAATTCTACCTATACTATGTACTGCTGTATAAGAAACCATTTGTACCCAGTGTAATACACGCACGTGGACCTCTGGTGTGCTACAGTGTGCAACATGATGCACAGAATACACACTGGCAACTGGCTTCTAAAGATGTATCTACCCAACAAGGTGTCGTGGTTCACAGCTGTGGTCTCAGAACTCCGGAGGCTGAGGCAGGAGAATCCCAAGTTTGAGGCCAGCCTAGGCAACTTCTCCAGAGTCTATCTCTAAAAACTGTAACAATTTTTTTGAAAAGAACTTTCTACCGGGTTGTCAATAACTAGTACAAACAGTTCACAATTCGGCACACTGCCCACAGCTCTGGATTTGCAGCTGTAGTAGAAGTCCGTGGCCCACACAACAGGCCTTCCTTCTGGTCAAGGTAGTGGACCCTCCAGGCCAGGCCAATGAAACCACTGTCCTCTGGGCTCTTCATCCAAGGCCGTGGTAATTTTAGGGCTTGGGCCTTAAATTCTTTTCAGATCAGTGGGGAAATGTGTACTTTTAGGTTTTAAAGTTTTAATGTATTATATTAGTGCAGTTGCCTTTGTAACAAGCCAGCCAAAAAGTAAAGAGGGACGCAGGCGTGGTGGCACATGCCTGCGATCCCAGCATTCTGGAGGCTGATGCAGGAGGGTTGTCACAAGTTTGAGGCCACGTAGCAAGATCCTGTCTCAAAAATACCAAAAAAAAAAAAAAATTTTTTTTTTTAAGCGTAATACTTTTGTGGAGCAAGAGGCACCAGAAGGCAAAGGTCCCGAGGGCCCTCTAGGTCACCCGGGAACCCACAGCCCTCCCTCCCCGCTGCCACAGGAACTCCGGAGCTTCCCGGCTGACTGTCCCCGCGAGATCAGCGTGGAAATAGACGCGGCGCCAGGCGTGGACCTCACCAGGCTCCTCAACGACATGAGGGCACAGTACGAAGTCCTCGCAGAGCAGAATCGCAAGGACGCGGAGGCCTGGTTCATGGAAAAGGTAGCCGGAGAGCAGAGGGTTTGGTAGCCGCGGTGGCCCCCAGCCCCATGCGATCAGCGCTCGCCCTAAGCCTCTCCGCCTTGCAGAGCGGGGAGCTCCGGAAGGAGATCAGCTCCAACACCCAACAGCTGCAGTCCAGCCGGAGCGAGGTCACCGACGTGCGGCGCGCGCGGCAGAGCCTGGAGCTGGAGCTGCAGTCCCAGCTGGCCTTGGTGAGCGCAGGCGCAACTTTGTTTCGATCGCCCACACAATGCTGCAATGGCTGTTAGCTCAGCGCCGCCTGTTTTCCCTCCCTTCCCGCGTGCAGAAGAAATCCCTGGAGGATTCGCTGGCTGAGACCGAGGGCGGCTACTGCGGCCAGCTGTCGCAGGTGCAGCGCCTCGTGGGCAGCCTGGAGGCGCAGCTGCAGCAGGTGCTCGCCGACGCCGAGGGCCAGGGTGCGGAGCACCGACGGCTGCTGGACGCCAAGGCCGGGCTGGAGCTGGAGATCGAGACCTACCGGGGTCTGCTGGACGGGGAGGCCGCGGGGTGAGAGCGGGCAAGGGGGACGCCTGCGGTGGGGAAATCCAACTTCCGAGACCAGACGCTCCACGAGCCGCCCCACTGCCAGCCCATTTTAGGCAAGGTCTGAAAACAAAGTCGCGCTGAGCCGGTTGATGGCTCTCAGGATGCCTCCGTCCATCAAGAGACTGGGGATTCTCCATCGGGCCTTAGTTTTATGCACTTTTCTAACTTTCAGCTCAAACAGCAAACTCTCTTTATTCCTTCTTCCGGCCAGCCTCACGTGATGCCCCGCCCTTGCTTCCTTTACAGGGATGATTTGGAGGAAAGCGCATCTGAAACGGGCTCCAAACCCCAAGCTCAGTCCACTGATTCTTCTAAAGGTAAGCAGGCGAGAGTCCAAAGTAAGGCAGAACCGTGTTGATTAGAGGCGAAAACTTAAGACTCCCTGAATACTGCGCGCCATGCCCGATGAGCCAAAGATAGACGCATGCGTTCTTAACAGCATGCAGTGGTCTGTCGCTTTGTTAAAACTGCTGCCAAACCCAGAAGGGAAAACATCTGCTCTGTGGATGGGGACTATACACACCACACCACTTGGTAAATGTTAAAAACATTTGTGCACGAGGCCATATGAAATACTTTTCATGTTCACAGGATAGAACACCCTTTTAGGATGTCGATGTCACTTATGAAGGTTTAAGTTTGACGGGTTGTTATCGGGCAGGACCCAGTTTAGAAGCTTAAATTATCCAGCCACCAATGTCGGGATAATGTTCAAAACCTTCAGGTCTGCTTTCTTTATCCTGTTTCAATCCCTAGACCCCACTAAAACCCGGACAATCAAGACAATTGTCCAGGAGGTGGTAAACGGAGAAGTGGTCTCATCCCAAGTTCAAGAAATTGAAGAGCTGATGTGAAAATTTCACAAGATTGGCCCCGTGATTTGTTCCTTGGGATGAGAAATTTACAGCTAGGAGCTAGTGCTCCTTTCAGAATAGCATGCCGTATTAGTTCAATCTCTATTTTTTGGTCTATCTGGATTCTCTCTTCCCTTTGAGGACTCTGTCTCTCTGAAGCAATATTCAGTCACAAGTCACTAGTCCTTGCCGTTATGCTGATCTCTGCGATGAACCCAAATCCCCTTACACCCTCCTGGGACCCGGAGTGTCCTCCGGGAACTTTCTTCTGGTGATGTGGGCCACTGTTTTTAAATCACAGAGCTTTGATGAAGGGTGTTGATAGAGCTAATAAAAGATGAATGGTAGTAATACGAAGTTGTTGTTATTATTATTATTCCAACAATAATGTCAAGGGCATGGACAGAGATTTTCATATTAAATAATGAAGTAGATAACCACTAAAGTAAAGATCTTAGGCTTGGAGATTACATTAAGAGGATCCTTTCGGAGGTTCTGCTCTGTTTCCACTGGTCCAGTGAGGTTGCCAATAAACCGCTACCCACTGCCAGGGAGAGCAGCTGCTCTGTCCAGTCCCACCACCTCCCTCCACGGAGGTGAGAAACACATCCTGAGGCCCCGTGACCCGCAGCCCGGGGACAGAGTGAGTCGTGAGGAACAGCTTCACCTGCAGGGGCTCTCGGCTGAGGGCAGAGGGGGACAGGCCAGGAAAGTGGGCAGTGCGAGAGACAGGACGGACTTCAAAGACCCCGAGGGGAGGCAGGGTGGGTTTTTAGGGCGACTAAACTCTTCCTGTGGAGAGCAGCCAAGGGGACGGGGGAGGAGCCCAGTAGAGCAGGAAGGGCTCTGCTCTCCCGCCCTTCTCCTACCCCACAGCGGGGCTCAGGGGGCGCTTCTGGTGGGGTTGAGTCTGACCCGCAAGGCAGGAGTAGAAGTTGGGTTCTGCGTCGGGGCAAAAGGTAGCCAAGTCCAAACCTTTGCCCAGTGAAGATGCTGGCTCAGCTGCCAGATTCAGACCCCTAGGAAGGAACCCAGAGCAGGGGTTCGTGATGAAGAGTGCAGGTTGTGAAGCGCACCGAGTTCAAACCCCGGCTGCACTGCTCTCCGGCAGTAACAACTCTGAGCACCCCGGTCCCTCGAGCTCCACCTGCTCCGCGGCCCACGGCCACAGCAACTGGAGGGCGCTGGTCCTGGAAGCACCCCATTTGGGTAGCGTTCCTGCTTACTGAGAGCAACCAGAGGTGGGTGGGAAACCCCGGGGAAGGGCAGCCAGGAGGGTCACAGGGAGGGGACGGGGAGCAGCCGGGCCTGGAGGGGCCGGAGCTGAGAGCTCCTCCGCCAAGCGAGGCTGGCTGGGTCGGTGAGCAGCCCCGTGAGGCTCCTCCTGCGTCGCACAGTAGGGAGAACTGACCCGAGGACCCAGAGGAACCATCAGGCTCATTTCCCACACGGACATAAGAGATGCCGCCCCCGACATTCAGAGGGGCCCTCCAGGGTCGCCGACCGACATCGCGCGCAGTCTTCAGTCACCACCGAGTCGGACGGGCGCGGCTGGGAGCTGGACACCCGCACGAGTCCGACGTCCAGGGTCCTCTCCCCGGCCCCCGCTTTTGGAAGCGCCCCCCAGGCTCCCCAGGACGCCGCCTTCCGGAAGGTGCTGAGACTTCTCTCCCTAGGAGGCCGGAGCTCAGCTGACCCAGGGCTGCGGGCGCCGTCTGCACGTGGTGACCTGCGCTCTGCATCCCGAGCGGCTCACAGCCCCCGACCCTGGGTCCCCACCTCCTGCCCCGACGGAGGAGGGGACGAGGCGATTTCCAAGGCCCCTCGGGTCACTGCCCGCAGGCTTCTCCGCTGGGGCCAAAGCCCACAGCGGGAAAGCACAACACAGAGCTGCGCCTGTGCCTGGGGCTCACAGAACAGAAGCAAATCCCGAATCGCAGCGTGTTTTCCCAGCAGGAGCTGGGGGGAGAAGTCTGCAGCCTCCCTCCGCTCGCAGAGGAAGCGTTCGGTTTCCTGCCGGCGAAGCCGCAGGGCTGGGTCCTCCGTCAGGCCGGGCTGCTGTGACCCAACACCGCGGGCCAGGGGCTGAAAACCCCAGCAGTGCATCCCGTACCCCTGGGTGCGCAGCGCCCCCTCCTTAGAGCCACAAGAGGTGAGCATGGGGCCCGGGATTATTTCGGAATCTGAAATTTCACTAGTTTAAATTTTTACAGAGCTGTGCATTTGTTGTCTGCCTAAGCTAAAGAAAGGTTTGGAAAACATTATTTCCTGAATTCTCGAGATGTGGTGGGGACCCACGGGAGGGGGGGTGCTTTATTTTTCTTTGGTACGTTTTGTTATATTTTGTTGTATTTTGTTTGTCATGCTGAGGACGGAACCTGGGGAGCCCTGAGCTACATCCTACCCTTACTTATTTTTATTTTATTTTTCAAACAGGGTTTTGCTACACTGCCCAGCCCAGCCTGCCACTTGCAACCCTCCTGCTTCAGCCTCCGCAATAGCTGGGATGTGCCACGTGCCTGGAACATTTTGTACAATTTCTAAAAATGTCTTTTAAAAAAACAGCATGCATGACTTTGAGAACCTAAGGTAATGAATTTTAGTTACTCAAATACAAAAAGATTTGTCTGTAAGTCTCAGTGAGAAGGGAACCAACCGCCTTTAGAAAGCTTTTCGGCTGTGTACGAGCGCCACCTGCTGGCGGCTCAGAGAAGAAACTTTCCAAAAAACCCCGAGTCCAAGCCGCTGCCTTCTGTTCCATATGGAAAACTGATTTAAGAAAGAGAAACACGGGCATTTCTCTAAAAATCATCCATTTAATACGATAAAACTGTCTCGTTTATCTAACAATTCCCCTCCAGAGAGATCGATAAGGTATAAAATAAAGAAATTAGCAACTGAGTTTAGAAAACCAGGCGACTAATGTGAGCTCCTCGGGTTCTAAACCGTACTCTCTAATGTTAAATCAAAGCGAAGAACACTCTCAGGGTGGCGCGGCTTTTCCTGGAGTAATAAATGCTTCTCTTGTTTTGAGACAGGGTCTCACTATGTAGCGCAGGCTGGCCTAAAAACTCAAGGAGACCTTCCTGCCTCAGCCTCTCGAGAGCTGGGATTACATACAGGTGTGTGGAAAGCCCTTGGCCCCGGGGTTTTATGCCAGGCGTGGCAGGAGGGACCCAAGACCATCAGGAGGGGAGGATTTCTGGCTGGATCGTGGGGAGGGCGCCTGGGTGTGCCCATCTGTCACAATGCAGCGCGGGTGCCATGCACCCCCGTGGGGTGATGGTGACTGGTGACTCTGTCTCCATGACGACCCCAGCGGAGGCAGCAGCGTGGAGCCCAGAGTCCGGCTCAGGCACAGGCGAGGAATAAATAAATACTCGGGGGTTTTCCGGGCCGGCTGCTAAACCAGGCCGGTGGGGAGGCAGGAGCAGGGGGCGGGCTGAGCCCGGTGCCGACCCTGCGGTCTTCTGGGGGCTTCACTTAGCTCCGCAAACCCGGGGCCAAATAGCGCCTGCTGGGCTGGGCCATGGCGGGGGGCGGGCACCCCGGGCGTCGGCCCCACCTCACGGGCTCGTTGTGAGGAGTCAGCAGATCCTCACCCGGCAAAGTACGTGCCAAGTGCTAGCTGTCAATAGCACCAAAAACCAGTTTTACCAACCTCGACTTTGGTATAAAACTTGTTTGAATTAACTAATTAGCATACTCCTCCCAAATCGCGCCTGCGGGCGTGCGTGCGTGTGTGTGTGTGTGTGTGTGTGCGTGTGTGCGTGTGTGTGTGTGTGTGTGTGTGTTTTGCTTCTTGTTTTCTTCCTTCCTTTCACACACAATCCTGAACAGTTCCCAATTGGAAAAACAGATGCACGATTTTCTCTTTCAGCTGAAATATTTCTCCTTAGTTAACTCCCCAGCTCTGCTGGGAGAAGATCACTTTTGCTGTTGTGTCCGGCGAAAGAACTTTGTAAACCACGAAGCCGTTCAGATCTGCGAGAGGCTCGCGGTGACGCGCAGCTGCTTCGCGGTTCTAAACACTTCGGGAGGGAAAAAAAGGGGCTGTGGGGGCCCGGGATCTGGCTCGGTGCTTCCCCCACCTGCCTCGCAAGCGTAAATGCAGCCGGGTTCGATCCCCGCCAGCAAAACAGACTGCGGAAAACCTGAACATTTTTGGGGATCATCACTCCCGAAGCTAGGGATTTTTTTTTTAATTAGCGCATGCTAATTACGTATAAGGAAATCGTGAATAAGTGCAAGGCGTTACACATGTGCAATGGTGTGTTTGCAAAACTCAGAAGCGGTTTATTACAGTCTCTCCAGTCTCCCTTAAAGTCCATTCGATGGTGACCTGAGTTGCTAAAAAAAAAGTCGTTGTTGATGTCTCGCTCTGCTTTCTTAGAGAAAACTTTCTCCAGCGTTTCGGAAACAGATACACCGCTTAGGAGCAGATCTTTCAATAAACCGCGCTAAAGAGCCGGGCGTGGTGGCTCACGCCTGTAATCCCAGCACTTGGGAGGCTGAGGCAGGAGGATCGCTGTGAGTTCGAGACCAGCCTGGGCTACATAGTGAATTCTAGGTCAGTCTCAACTACATAGTGAGAC